TTTGGGGGAGGGGAGGGGGGGTCACATCCTGCTGGTAGCTCCATCTTGTCACTGTGGCCCTCCAGCACCCGTCACCCCGCGCCAGCCGGGCTGACGGCAGCTGCCAAAGGTGTCCCCAGGAGTGGACACGGCTGTGGTCCCCGAGCTGAGGCCGGTGCCGTGGTTCCCCCTTGCCGGGCGTGTGGAAGCCGTGGGGATCCTGGCAGAGGGCTGACAGCAGCCCCCTGGCACCCCGGGAGCAGCCCCACGGCAGCGCCGCCAGCGCCAGGGCCCCCGCCAGCCCTGCCTGGGGACACAGCTGGAGCAGGCGGGGACAGCAGCGGGGTGGTCCCCGGCACCCAGCGGAGCAGCGCCCTGGGTGCGGCAGCATCGTGGGGATGGGGGCACATGGGGACCCGGGCTGGGGGAGGCGGTGACAGCAGGGTGACAAAGGCATGGGGAAGGGGAGGTGTCCACCGGCTGCAGGGCTTCTCCATGCTGGGCAGGGAACGAGCGCCTGCAGCAGTGCCTAGGGACACCGGGGACAATTCGTAGTCCCCGCTGCTGGCACCTCAGGGAGGGGGTCACACCGTCCTAGTCCCCAAAACACCCCACAATGGCACAGCCGGGGCTTGGCCACCCCACGCCTCAGCCCCACGAGGCCGTGGGATTGTCACCCCCCACGGTGGGGACTGTCACCTCTCACGATGGGGATCGGGAGGGCCCCGCCAAGGGGACCGGGGTGACGGGCGCTGCCGGGCGGTGGCACCGCCGGCGTGAGACCGGGATGGGGACGCCCTGCACCCCCCACCCAATGCCCCCTTTCTCCCCTCAAGCACCATGGGGACACTGGTGTGTCCCCAGAGGTGGCCGCAACCCGGCAGAGCCACCCAGCACGTCCCCGCCGCAGCCCCCGCCCCACGGCCAAGGTCAGGACACCCGCCCGGGGTGCGGGGGGACGGCGGGTGACGGCCACCCCCCCCCGGCACCCACCGGGCAGCGGGGAAGCCTCCTCTCCTCATTTCCCTCGGGGGTGCGGCGGGGCCGCGTCCCCCCCCGACCCCGCTCCCTGGGCGGGGGGGGCTGCAGGTGCCAAGGGACCCCCCGCACCCCCGAGGGTGGCTCGGAAGGGGCTGCCCGGAGGGTCCCCCCTCCCCCCGGCGGTGGCAGCATCCTCCTCATCGTCCTCCTCCCCTCCGCGGAGCCCGGAGCGCGACCGTACCTGCGGCGGGGGCTCAGCGCCGGGCGGGAAGCGGGGCGGGGTGCGGGGCTCGGCGGAGCGGGGCCCCCCGGGGCCGGTGCCGGGGCCGGTGCGGGGCGGCCGGGCCGCTCCGCCACATCCGCAGGGGCTGGGGGCGGGGGTGGCGGCGGCGGGGCTGGGCCCCCCCTGCCCGGTCCCGGGGGCGGCGGCGGGGCGGGGGCTCTGCCCGCCGTGATTTATGGCCGCCCCGCACCGAGCGGCCCGGCCCCGGCTGCGGGCGGCGCTGGGCGGGGGCGGGGGCGGCCCCTCCCCGCCCCCGCGGGGGGCACCGGGGGGCACCGAGCCCCGCCCCGGGGGGGGGAACCCGCCGCCCCCCCGCGCAAGGTCACCCCGGCGCTGCGGCAGAGCCGCCCCCCTCCCCCGCGTGTCCGTGTCCCCTCCGCGTGTCCCTGTCCCCCCCTGGGGACGTGGCGGGGCGGGGGGCGGCGCCCACCGGAGCCCCCACCCCGTACCGGGGCGGCTCGGGGGGAAGGGGGGGGGAGCGTGGGGGTCACCCCGGGGAAATGGGGGTTGGGGGGGATCCCCCTCCCCGCAGGAGCGGCGCCGCCCGCCCGTCGCGTGACGTCACAGAGCGGGGCTGGCGTCACGCCTGGCGGGGGCCCCCGCATGACGTCACCGGCGGGGGGGTTGTCCCGGGGCCGCGGCTCCTTCCGGCGGCAGGATGTGGCGGGGCCGGCCCGGATGCTGCAGCCTCGCCTCGCCGGGGGGGTCCCTCCCTCCCCCGGGGCCCACGCGGGTGGCTGCGCACACCCCACCCGTGATTTTATTTGGGGGCGCAATGCAGCTGCCGTGTCCCCAACGCCCCCCCGACACGGGGGGCAGCGAGGGGGGACACGACACTGCCCCACGCGTTTTTTGTTTGGTTGGGTTTTTGTGTTGTTTTTTTTTTTTTGCGGGGAAAGCTGCAGTGTCCCCAACAGCGCCGCTGTGAAAGGGAGAACACACGCGTGGGGGACAGCACTGTCCAAGGCGGGTGGCTGAAGTCACACCCCACCAAAACACCCGTGGATGTTTTGTTTCCGTTTGTTTTGTTGTTTTTTTTTTTTTTTTTTTTTTTGCAGGGGGAGATGCGGTGTCCTCCCTACGAAAGGGAGGGACACACGCAGGAAGCTCTGTTCCATGCGGACTTTTGGGTGGAGAGGGAGCTGCCGTGTCCCCACGAGCCCCACACAAGGTGGGACGGAGTGAGGGGCACAATTCTCACGCGGGCAGCTGAAACCACATCCCAGCCGCGGTTTGGGGTTTTCTTTTGCGGGGACAGAGCTGCTGTGTCCCCAACAGCCGCGCAGCAGAGCGGGGACACGGATGGAGGCACAGTTCTGACCCACACAGGCGGCCGAAGCCACATCCTACCCGCGGTTTGGGTGTTTTTGTGGGGGAGCCGCCGCGTGCCCAACATCCCCGCCACAAGCAGGGGAGACACGGGAGGGCAGCACCGTCCCACGCGGGTGACCGAGGGATTCCTGCGGGAGGGGCAGAAGCCGCGGTGTCCCCGCAGTGTGTCCCCGCTGTGCCAGGCAGGGGGGACGCGGCGCTCCCCGTGCCGAGGGGCCCCTGCGGGGGCCGGGCAGGGGGCCCAGGGGACACCCGGCAGAACCTGTCCTGCAGCTCCCAGCGGGGCCGGGCCGTGCGAGGGGGAGGGCTGAGCCCACCCTGCTCTGCGGAGCTCCTGCCCCTCCGGGGTGACACCCACCCCCAGCACCCCCTGGCGTTCCCGCTCCCGTGGCCTGGACCCCCGCAGGCAGTGCTGGGGGGGCTCTGGGGGGAGGTCACCTGCCACAGGTAGGTCCCTCAGGTTCCACACGGCTCCTGCCAGCCCCAAGCCTCCCTACCAACTCCCCATGGCCCCTGCCAGCCCAGTGCTCCCCTGCCAGTCCCCCAGACTCCCCTCCCAGCTCTGTGCCCCCCTGTGACCCCCACACAGCCCCTGCCAGCCCCCCATGGCTCCTGCCAGCCTTGTGATCCCTGCCACCTCCTACACCTTCCTGCCACCTCCACAGTCCCCCAAAGCCTCTCTCATCCCCCCAAAGTCTCCCCATCCCCCTGCCAGCCCCCCAGAAGCCCCCCTAAAAGCCCCCTGCCCACATGAACCCATCGTCCCCAAACCCTGAACCCCAACCTGGAGTTCTCCATGCCTCGTGTGAGCTCCATGCCCCTGCCAGCCCCCAACCCCCCAGCTAGGCCCCACAGCCCCTTGCCAGCTCCCAGCCCCCCCAGTCAGCTCCCCAAGCTCCTCACCAGTCCCCAGAACCCCCCATCAGCTCTCAGGATGGCTCTGGCAGCCCCCAGAGCCTCCTCCCCAAAGCCCCTTGCCAGCCATGGGATCCCTGTCACCCCCAGCTCCCCAGGGCTGCTGTGATCCCCCCTCCTCCCCAGCCACTGGCAGCCCCCTGAGCCCCCCAAAAGCCAGACCCTGCTGGAAAGAGGGATGGGATGGGAATGGGATCAAATAGAATAGAAGAGGATGGGACAGGACTAGGATAGGCCAGGGTAGGATAGGATGGAGAGGGGATTAGGTGGGATTGGGATGGGGATAGAGTAGAATGGGATGGGACAAGCTGGGTGTAGGAGAGGATTGGATGGGGACAGAATAAAATGGAATAAGGACAAGACAGGTCAGGATAAGGTAGGATAGGGTAGGATAAGGTAGGGCAGATGAGGTGGGATGGGGATAAAGCAGGATAGAATGGGAACAGGACAGGATGGAATAGGATTAGATGGGACTGGAACAAGACAGGTTAGGATACCATGAGATAGGATGGGATGGGATGGAGATGAGGCAGGTCAGAATGGGCTGGGATAGGATGGGATAGGATGGGATGAGGACAGGGTGTGATGTGGATGGGATGGGGACATGTCAGGATGGCATAGGACTAGGGCAGGATGGGATGAGGATAGGATGGGATTAGGATAGGATGGGATGGATGGGGACAAGGCTGGATGGGGTGGAGACAGGTCAAGAAGGGATAGGATAGAGCAGGATAGGACAGAATTCTGGCAAGATGGGATGGGGACAGGTCACATTGAGATAGGATGAGGTAGAGACACAACAGGCCAGGGTGGGATGGGATAGCATATGATAGGGTAGGATGGGATGGAGCTAGGGCAGGATGGAATGATATGGGGTGGAATGGACACAGGTAAGGATGGGGTAGGATAAGGCAGGATAAGATAGGGTAGGATGGGATGGAGCTAGGGCAGGATAGAATGAGGTGGTGTGGGAGGGGGACAGGTCAGGGTGGGATAGGGTAGGGTTTGGTATGAAATGATAGGATGAGTATGGAGTGGCATGGGGACAGCTCAGGCTGGTATGAGGTGGGATGCGTTGGGGACAGGGCGGGATGAGGGTAGGATGGGACAGAGCGGGACAGGATAGAGTAGCATAGGATAGAGTAGAATAGGATGGAGCCAGGTCAGGACGCGACGCGGTGTGACGGGCCGGTGCCAGCACGGGTCGGTACCGTCCCGGCCGCTCCAGTCGCCCCCCGCCCCGCCGTGTTCCGCCGCCGTGTCCCGGTGCCGCTCCGGCCGCGCTGCGGCCCCTCCCGCCGCCTTTGTTTACGCGGGGCCGGTGCGGGGCGGGGGCGGCGCCGGGCGGGCGGGGGCGGGCGGGGGAGCGGCGGCGGCGGCGGGCGGGAGCCGCGCTCGCTCCAGCTGTTTCCCGCCTTGGGCCGCGGGCAGAGGCCGGAGCCGGGCCGGGAGGGGCTGAACCGGGCCGGGACGAGCCGGGCTGGGCTGAACCGGGCCCCCCGCCCCCGTTATGGAGTACTTCATGGTGCCGGCCCCCAAGGTGCCGGCCCTGCAGCACTTCAGGAAATCCGAGAAGGAGGTCATCGGTGGGCTCTGCAGGTGGGGGAGCGCCGGCAGATCCCGGGCTCGGGGGTCTCGGGAGGACCGCGGGGGGATGGCGGGGAAGGGGGGAGCGGAGAACGGGGGGAGCGGCGCGGCGGCCGCGGCCCCACCGCCCGCACGTGGTCCCGGCCGCGCACATGGGACCGGCGGCCGCGCGTGGCCCGGGCGGGGAGCGCCGCGCCCCCAGCCCCGGCCGGGCCCCGCGGGTGCGGCGGGGCGCGCTCGGGGCGGGGGGCGCGGGGCGCGGGGGTCCGGGGGGCGCGGGGGTGTGTGTTTACCGCCGGGCCTGGCCGTGACTCTGCAGCCGCCCGGAGGAGGCGGGTCGCGGCCGGGGCTGCCGGGACATGTAGTGCGGGAGCGGCGGCACAAAGCCCGCGGACACGCGGGGAGCCCCGGCGGGCGGGGGGGCGGCCGGGGACCGGGGCTGCGGCCGCGGGGGGCGGCGGGCGGGGGGGGGCGCGGGCCCCGGAGCCACGCGGGGCGGCCCTGAGCCCCCCCGAGCTCCCCGGGCCTGCAGCTCCCGCCCCCGGGCGCGCTCAGCCCCCCGGGCCCGGGGCCGCCGCGGGGCCGCACGAACGGCCGGGGCTGAGGGGCTGAGGGGCGGCCCGGGCCCAGGGCACGTGTTGGGGGCCCGGCCCCTCGGGGTGCTGCCCCACGGCCTGGGGGGCTCGTCCCGGCCATCCCGGGGAGCGGCCGCACCTGAGCCCCCCCGGAGGTGCAGCGACCCAGGGCGGGGGGCGGCGGCTCCTCTGGGGTCCCTGGCGGTGGTGGCTGCGGGCCCGCGGGCTGGGGGTGGCTGCATGGGCAGGGTTGCGGCCGTCCTGCCCGGGCACTGGGGGCTGCACGGCCCCACACTGACCCCGCACGGGGAGCAGCCTTCCCGCTGCCCCCAGCTCCGGGAGACCCTGCATGAGCTCAGGCCGCTGGGTGACACCCTGCGTGCAGCTCGGGCTGCCGGGGCTGCCCTGCTTGTGACCTCCGGGAGCTCAGGGACACCCTGCCTGCAAGCTCGGGGTGCTGGGGGACAGCCTGCCTGTGAACTGGGGCTGTATCCTGCTTGTACACTCAGGTGTACCCTGACCCTGTAAGCTTAGAAGTGCCCTTCATGGAAGCATGGAGATACCCTGCCTGTGAACTTGGGGATGCCCTGCCTGGAGGCTGGAGAACACCCTACCTGTGACCTCAAGGAGCCTGGGGACACCCTGCCCCCATGGCCGTGCCTCCCTTGCCCTCCAGCACAACCCACAGCACAAGGTGTGATCAGTGTTGGACATGAGTGCACAGTGGGGCATCTGCCTTGTGCCTGGCTCAAACACCCACATGGGTTTGTTTCCCTCAAGGTCCAGGCCAGAGAAATATCTTCTCCAGAGTGGGAAGGACCAAATTCTGCTTGCCTGGCACAAACCCCACAGCACCAGCACCAGGCTGGAGACACCCCAGGGGCTCCAGTGGGTGCCACCTGCTCCCCCTGCCCCATCCCTGGCCATGCTGGGTGTCTGAATCCATGGGTTTTTGCCCTTTCCATATTTCGCTGTCACTTCTCAGGTCTCTTCCCAGGAAGAGCAGCTGGGGCAGGTTGCGGGAGGTCTCCCGGTGAGGAAGCAGCCTCTTCCTCCTTTCCCAGTATTTAAGAAAGCACTTCCGTGCTGCCCAGTCCTGGGCCTCTCCATCCCACTCCCCTTAAGTGTCTGATGGTCCCACATCCTGGAGCAGTGCTCCAGCCACCTCCTTACCCCAACAGGGACGATGTCTCCAGGACCTGCATGGTCTGGTGTGTTCTGGGGACAAGTTTGGGGCTGGTTTCAGCAGGAGCAGGGAGGTGGGTGACAGCCACCACCAGATGGGAGCCCTGTGCCACAATCCTGCTGCGAGCAGCTCTTGGTCCATGCGGCAGAGGCTGCTCCCAGGGAGAGGGGCAGACCCCTGGACACCCATCCCAGTTCCACAGCCCCGGGATTGCATGTGAGGGAACCAGTACAGTGTGTGCTTGGCACCCAGCATCAGCCTGTGCTGGGACACTGCCCCAGACGTTGGGGACAAATATCTTCCTGGCCTCCATGGGCTGAGCTGGGGTCCTTCCTTATCCCCTTGCCATGCGCTGGGATCCTTTCCTATACCTCTAGAGTAATCTGGGATCCTTCCCCATCCCTCTAGGGTAATCTGGGATCCTTCCCTATCTGCTTGGGATGAGCTGTGATTCTTCTCTGTCTTGCTGGGCACAGCTGGGATACTTCCCCATACCCTTGGACAGACCTGGAATCCATCCCCTTCTTAGGCTGAGTGAGGATCCTTTGCCATCCCTCTGGTGTGAGCTGGATCTTTCCCCATCCCCATGGATGAGTTGTGGTGCATTCCCCAGTTGCACAGGCAGTGATGAGTGTCCTGAGAGTCTCTGGTCACCGCCTGGGCACACGGTGGTGCTGCTGATATCCCTTAGATCCCTGTGCTCCCAAGCCTCCGTGCTTCCTCCCTGGCCTTACCAGGAGGGCAGGATGCTGGGCTTTGCTTCCCAGCCTGGCTTTGGCAAGCCTCTGGGTGGAATGTTCCCACCTCCCCGTGCTGGAGCCGCCGGGCACCTGGACGGGCGGCTGGAGCCCGTCTTATCTCACCCATGCTGGCGGCCGGCTCCTGTGTTTAGTCTTTGGTGCCTCACAGCATCCCCGGCGCCAGCGGGTGCCTGCACTCTGGGGAGACTTGGCATAGTGTGATCCAAACCTCTGCCCTGCTTCCCTCGGGGAAGAAGTGGGGTGTGGGTGAAGCTGGACCCCACAGCAGCGAGCTTTGCTCGGCTCTGGTGCTCTGGACCCGTGGGTGTTGGCTGCCCGGAGCCCTCGCCCTCCATGCTGGCATTTCCCGGCCCATCTGCAGGGCAGGGGCGAGGAGGCAGCGGCAGGAAGCAGGCAGGAGCTGCGGCTTGGGGTGGGACGGGGGCTTCTCTGCTGGGAGCTGTCATCTGGAAGCCATCAGCGGGGCGGGAGGGAGGGAGGGAGCCGCCTTCCCGGGGCCACACACGCCGGCCGGCCCGCGGGGACACAGCCAGCCAGCCCGCAGCCTCCCTCGCCCACCTGGGCGTCCCCTGGCCCAGGCTGGGCACTGGGCAGTGTGGCTGAGCCCGGTGGAACCAGGGGGCTGCAGCAGTGCCGTTGTTTGGCCAGTGCATCCCCCAAAATTTGGACACAGGGCTGGAGAAACCCACCCACCCGCTTTGGTGATTCCAGCACCGCAGCCATCGTCCCCTCCGTGTCACCCGTCCCTTTGGTGGCTCAGAACCATCACAGCAAAGCAAGGGGGGATGCAGTGAGCTGGCAGCAGGGGTGCAGCCCCTCTTCTCTAACCCTGGGTCTCTCTCACAGCTTGGCCAACATCCCACTGACTCCAGAGACCCAGCGGGACCAGGAGCGGCGGATACGCAGGGAAATCGCCAACAGCAACGAGAGGCGGCGGATGCAGAGCATCAATGCTGGCTTCCAGTCCCTGAAAACCCTCATCCCACACACGGATGGGGAGAAGCTCAGCAAGGTGAGCAGCATGCACATGTTGGTCCTGCACGTGGAGGAGCTGAAAGTGGAGTTGGGGCCATTTGGGTGTTAACTCGGTGATGGAGCTCTCTCCTGAGGAGGTTTCCCAGCAGGAGTGGGTGTGCATCCCCAGCCTGGTTTCCTGGAGTGGGCTGGGAGTATGTGACAGCCCTCAGTGCCCCAGGAGCAGGGTGACACATTGCTGGGTGAGGAGGGGAGCTGTGCAGAGGGGAGGGGGGTGAGGAGGCAGCTGCTGAGTTCCCAAGGTGGGTGAATTGGAGGGTTTCAGCGGGGGGAACCTGGGGTGAAGCAGACTCTGGGAGGACACACCAGGGACAGGCAAGGAGCAGTGCTGCTTGCAGAGCTCATCGGGAGGAGGCCTGGGGGACACCAGGGTCTCCTGCCTCAGCCTGCCCCTCCTGGCTCCCCCACAGGCAGCCATCCTCCAGCAGACAGCAGAGTACATCTTCTCCCTGGAGCAGGAAAAGACTCGGCTACTGCAGCAGAACACCCAGCTCAAGCGGTTCATCCAGGTAGTGCCCCAGGGATGGCACAGGAGGGGCTGGGACAGTCCTGGCTGGCTGGTGGGGGATGTCATTGCCGTTCCTTGGGCTCAGGGTGGGACCCTCCACACTGCTCAGCCGGAGAGTGGAGGTGTTTCCATTCCCCTGGCGGGGCAGCGAGCCCCATTCAACCTGGCATCTCTTGCCTGGCAGGGGGAGAAGGGTTGGGGTCCCATTTTCCATTATTTGCACCCATTTGGGGTATTGGGGATGGCCTGGTGGCAGTTCTGGTGCTGGGGTGTCCTGGTTGAACTGCCCTGGGTGTCAGTGTGAGAATCAGATTGGTTTTGGGGATGAAGACCAGGATGGGGGACACAGGCAGGAGCCTGTCTGTCCCCAAGCATCAAACCCAACCCCAGGGAGACCCTTTCCTGCACGGAGCTCTGGTGGGGAGTGGCAGCACCCAGATGTCTGAATGGCAGGGAGAGAGCATCCCCCTTTCCCTGACACCACATTCCCATGGCAGGAATTCAGTGGCTCCTCCCCGAAACGGCGACGGGCAGAGGACAAGGACGAGGGGATCGGCTCGCCTGACATCTGGGAGGATGAGAAGGCCGAGGATCTGCGCCGGGAGATGATTGAGCTCCGGCAGCAGCTGGACAAGGAGCGCTCGGTCCGCATGATGCTGGAGGAGCAGGTGAGGCCAGGTTGATGCTGGAGGAGCAGGTGAGGCCGGGTGCCCTCTTGCAGCCTCTGCCATGTCCCCAGGGAACCCCAGGGACACCAGCAGTGCTGTGGGGTCACCGAATACCTGCTTTGGGCATCGCTTCTCCGTGCTTGTCTGTGGCTTCCTGGGTCCCACTGAGGGGACAGCTGGGGTTCAGTGGGGCTGTGCCAGACTCCCCACTGATGCTGGGGCTCCCTGACCCGCAGGTTCGCTCCCTGGAGGCCCACATGTACCCCGAGAAGCTGAAGGTGATTGCTCAGCAGGTGCAGCTCCAGCAGCAGCAGGAGCAGGTGAGGTTGCTGCACCAGGAGAAGCTCGAGCGTGAGCAGCAGATCCGAACCCAGGTGAGTGCACCCCAGGCACCCCCAGGTACTGGAACACGGGGGGTGAGTTCAGTGATGGACTTGGCACCTCCTGTGGGCACTGGTGTCCCAGCAAAGCTCTCACATGTAGTGATCTGGGAAAGGGGTGGCCCAAAGCCCCCACAGTGCTTGGGGCTGTGCTTGTGGGCACCCTGAGTTTCAGGGAGGGACTGTGGATTGGAGCACCCGTGATGGCTTCCAGGGCTCGGTTCCCTGGCACAGAGTGGTTTGTACAGGGAAGGTCACTCTGCCAGAGAGGGTTTCATCTCAGGGGCTTCACCTTTCTCTGGATGACTCCCACTGAACTTCAGGGATCCCCAAACCACTCCCTGCCACCCAGCAGGCTGGGAAAGGGGAGTATCAAGCTGGCAGGCAGAGAGGGTGGGAACTTTCAGCCTTTCCCCTGGGACTGCTGGGTTTGCCAGTGGTGCGGGCAGGAGGTGAGGGCTGTGCCAGCACCGGTTCCTGTGCACTGCCAGCCTCAAGCCCAGCCTGGGGCCACGCCACCCTGGGAGTTTCAAAGGGAGCAACAGCAGCTTCTTCCCTGCTCCTGGGGCTCCTGCAGAGCCACGTCCCTGCAGGGTCCCCGCCGGCCACCTCCCAGGGAAGTTCAGCCTATTTTTAGGTGAACTCTCCATAGCCTCCTGCTAGGGTGGATCTTCCCATCCGCTGCTCCAACGAGGATCTCCGAGGGGTGTGGGGAATTCCTGGCCACTCAGGGGCTGGCACTTGCCTCTGCTGGCTTTAAAGCCCAAATCATTGCCCTTTGGGACATGGGGAATCCTTCATGTTCCGCTCTGCAAAGCTGAGCTGACAGCAGCTTTCAGCTGGCATCCTCCTGCATCCGCTGGGATGGAGAACTGGAGCAGCCGAGTGCTGCTGTCAGCTTTTATGGAGCTTGGGCTCCGTGAAGAAGCGCGATGCTCTCCCCACACCGCTGGGCCGTGCCCTGCTCACCGGGGCTTTCCCTTCTGTCCCCAGCTCCTGCCATCACACGCTCCCCCAGCGCCCACCCACCACCCCACCGTGATCGTTCCAGCGCCGCCTCCCTCCCATCATGTCACCGTGGTCACCATGGGCCCGTCCTCGGTCATCAACACGGTCTCCACGTCCCGGCAAAACCTGGACACCATCGTTCAGGTCAGCTGGGGGGCAGCGGGGGGTTTGGCAGAGGGGGGCTCAGGGGGGTCCCTACCCCCAGGCTGGGTCAGAGGTGCCCTGACAGCCGGTGTGTGCCCTGGGCAGGCGATCCAGCACATCGAGGGCACGCAGGAGAAGCAGCTGCAGGAAGAGGAGCAGAGACGCGCAGTCATCGTAACGCCCGCGCGCGCCTGCCCCGAGCCCTCCGCCTCCGACACCGCCTCCGACACCGAGGGCAACGACAGTGACTCCATGGACCAGAGCAAAGAGGAGCCCTCGGGGGACGGGGAGCTGCCCTGACACCCCCCGGCCAGCAGCTGGGGAGGGAAGCCGGGGCAGGGGGGGGAAACGTCAGAGAATATGCTGAAATTTTTAAAAAATACAACGTGATTTGGGTCTCTTTTATGACCTTTTTCCAATACTGTAAAGCAGAGCGTTAGAGGCAGGCAAAGGTCACCCTTCAGCTCCCAGGGGGGCGGGGGCTCGGGGGTGGCTACAGTGGGGCACGGGGAGCTTGGGGCATGGTGGGGGGCGATGGGGATGGGGGAACAGCCCCCCACCCTGGTTTGTCAGCCCCCACCGCCAACCCACAGGGAATCCTGGCAAGCTGGCAGCAGCCCCACTGTTCCTGATGGTGTTCCCTTGGGACAGGGCCTTTGGTTGGGATCTTAATTTGCTTTTTTCCTTCTCTTGTTTTTTTTTTTTTTTTTTTCTTTTAATTAAATGTTTGTTTTTAAGCAGGGGGGGAGATGCCAAGTGACATGGCAGCAAGGGCAGGACAGGGATCCCTGACTTCAGGGTACCACCATGGCTCCTGCACCCCACATGGGGCAGGGAAAACCCCCTTGGAGAGTAAAATAATCCTGGGATGATGCCATTGGAGCACGGTGGGAGGGCTGGCATATGCCATCCCTCCCTGGCATTTCCAACACCCACCTCCTTGGCACAGGGATGGCAGGTTGGGGGCTGATCTTTACACCCCATCCCTGTCCCTGTGCCCATTCCTGTCCCCCCCACCCCATTCCCATCCCTCCTTTAAGCACTTAACCTGGTTTGTGGGGTCTGTCAGCTCCGAAGAGCTTTTCTATTTTGTGATTGTGTCGCTTGGGTCTGTCGTGGCGGGTGGGGGGTCCCTGTTTTGTGCGTCCCCCCCTCGCCCCACTGCCCCCCACCCGGCTGTAGGGTTTTAGGCCAGTCGTGTGTAGAGCCTCGGTGGTATTCAGTAGGTTCCCCCCAGCTGCAGCTGTTTCTCGGTTCCTTTCCCCTTTTGTTTTTTTTTTTTGGTTGTTTTTTTGTTTCTTTTTTTTTTTTTTGTATTTTTTTTACAATTTTCAGGTCTTTGTGTTGATTGAGAAGCTATTCTATTTTGTTAAGAAAGTTGAAAAAAAAAAAAGAGGCTCGTGCCTTTGTAAAGAAACAAAATAAAGTTTGTACTTGGTTTTTTAGAAGCTCCGTCCTGGCGTTGACATTTGTGGGGACAGGGATGGATCCCACCCTGATGGACCCTGGTCCCTCTGGGGCTCGTGGGGAGGGCAGGGAGTGCTGCCTGCACTGGGAATCACGGCAGGAGGCAAAGGCAGAGGGTGCTGGCCCTGGTGCTGGCCCTGCTGTGGTTCCTGCAGCCAGGCTGTGTTTAAAGGCTCAGCCCTGCCAGTGCTGCCCACACATGATGGGCACATCGGGGTTCAGCTCGGTGCTGAGGTGCAGGTGGGGGACATCTGGGCTGCTTTTAATGAGGCCACACAGCTGAGGGGAACTGGGGTCAGACTTTGTGTCCCCCTTCCCCAGGGATGGGGTATCCATCTCTCCATAGAGCTGACTCATGACTCGGTGTAGGGGCACTCCTCTCTCTCCATGTTTTTTTGGGGGGAGGCACCCCCTCTTTTCCTATGGAGCACCCACCTCCCAGCATCCTCCCGTGGCTGTGGGTCCCTCCCACTCCATGGCCCCAAGGGCTGGCCCCTGCCTGCTCTGAGCCATCACCCCCTGCTCCACACCACTGCCCCCTTCCCACCCCCCATCTCGGGTTCAGGGGCTCCCCCTGCTCCCACTCTTGGGGAACTGTTGTTTGCCACCTTCCCTGAGAAAAGCTGGGTCACAGCCCCCCCAGAATGGCTCCTGCACTGAGGGAGCCCAAGGGTCTCTGTGCCATGGCCAGGCTTTGGGGACAGCACTGAGAGGCTGCTCTGTATGAGCAAGGGTGCCAGGTGCTGGTGGCATCGTGCCCTGTGCCACACTGCCAGTGCAGTGACAGTGGGGACACCATCAGGGTGGCAGGAACGTGGCCTGTTTCCTTTGGGGTCTATGGCATTGCCTGGAGTTGGTGACCTGTGGTGGCTAAAGGGGACATCAGCCCAGGACGAGGTGCCTGGGGACAGCCACCCTTGGGGACAGAGGAGGACACTGCAGATGAGGACACTGTTTGTGGACAGCTCTCCCTGTCCACAAACCCCTGCTCCAGCCCAGAAGGAGCTGAGGCAGCCCAAGGAGCCCTGTACCCCACACGAGCAGGATTTGAATGGGGACAGTCCAGAGGAGCCCTGCAGGAATTTATTCGGATAAAGGGGAGAGGCGCCCATTTCTGCTCTCGCTGGGACGGGGCTGTGACCCGCACGAGCAGTGCCACCCCCACGCCCGCAGGTGCCCCGTGCCCTCGCATCCCTGGCAGGAGCCATTGCCACTGCCGTGTCCCCTCTGTGTCCCCATGGCCAGGGCCCCTGGGAGCGGAAGAGCGGCGGCGGCAGCAGCATCTGTGCGGGCAGCTGCCGGCCCTGCCCCGCGCCGCCCGTATAAATAGAGGCAGCGAGCGGCAGGGAGCTCCTGGCAGCCACCATGAAGGGCCTCAACCTGCTCTGCTGCTGCGTGGCCTCGCTGCTGCTCCTCGGCACCGCAGGTACGGCCACACACCGGGCTGGGGGCACCCGGGGGCTGGGGGTGCCCGAGGGCTGGGGGGGCTGGCAGGGCTATGGGGTCCCCGTGGGGCTGGGGGTGCCCTTGGGGCTGTGGGGACTCTGCGGGACTGTGGGTGCCTCTGGGTGCCCGGGCTTATGGGGTCTCCATGGGGCTGTGGGTGCCCTCGGGACTGTGGCAACCCCACGGAGCTGGCAGGTCCCCATGGGGCTGGGGGTCCCCACAGAGCTGGGTGTCCCCATGGGGCTGCAGGCTCTTGGGGGCTGTGGGTTCCTAAAGGGCTGTAGGCACCCCAAAGGGCTGTGGGGTCCCTGTAGGGCTGCAGGTGCCCGTGGGGCCATGGGTGTCCGGGGGCAGTAGGTGCCTATGGGGCTGTGGGTACCTACAGGGGGTGCCTGTGGGGCCATGGGTGCCTGTTGGCTGGGGCTGCCTGTGGGGCTGTGGGCACCTCTGGGACTCTGGGTGCCTGTAGGGCTGCAGGTACCTGTGGGTCTGTGGGGGTCTGTGGGGATCCTGTAGGGTTGCAGACAGAATTGTGGGTGCCTGTGGGACTGAGAGGCTCTGGGGCGCCCAGTGAGCCCAGCCCTGGAGCAGGACAGGGTGGCAGGGGTACAGCAGTCCGGGCTCCCCAGCAGCTTTTCCAAGGCTGCAGAGCCACCCCAAAGTGCGCAGGGAAACGTGTTGGGGGGCTGTGGACAGGAGGGGAAGGCGGGAGGTGCAGACTGGGGTCCCTCTTACAGAGCCACGCTGGGCACAGGGGCCGCGCTGCCGCTGACATGCCTTGAGGCAGTGTCACCTGTGGCTGCCGTGGTGTCTTGATTTGGGACTCTGAGGGGGGGATGCAGGGCGCTGGGATCTCTGAGGACCCCGGATCCCCTTCCCCGGGCTGTGCCATCCCCGCTCCTCACCGCGCTGCCCGGCCGGGTGTCCCCGGGGCGGCGCGGCATCGCTGGTACCCTTGCTTGCCCTTGAGTTAATTTGGGCTGGTTCTCTGCCTGGCCGGGCTCCGGCGGCCGCGCAGCCGGGAGCGGGGCTGCTAAGAATGGAAACAGCCGTGTAAGGGGACACTGAGCCCCGGCACCCCCCCGGCCACTGCCGCGGCCCCGCGCGGGCACCGCAGCTGCCGCCTCCCAGCGCCCGGCACCCCCGGCCCCGCCGAGTTTTGGCCTTTTAAGGGCATCTTGGGCCATTCTCGGCAATGAATGGGGTTTGGGGCCAGCCACACACCCTGACAGAGGTGGGGTGACCTCCATGGGGCTGCGGGTGCAGTCTGTGGAGAGGGGTTGGGAAGGTGTTCTGCGGGCATGGATGGTGGCTGGTGCCACTCCAAGCGGGGCTGGGGGCTTTGTGGGACATCAGGAGCTTGTCTGAGACCACCAGCCCATGTCTTGGTTTGGCTGGGCTGGCACAGCACAGCACTGGGATCCCCCATCCCCCAGGAGGCTCTGGGGCCAGGAGGCACATGGGGGTCTGGCAGCCCCAGGACCATCTCTGAGGGGTCCCCCAAGTTTATTGAGGGTTTATTGAGGGTCACCTGTTTATTGAGGGTCACGTATTTCACCCCAGTACTGAGAGTTTCCAAAAAAGCTCTAAGCAGTGGCATGTCTCCTGCCCATGCTTCTGCTCCTCAGATACCAGTGGGATTTGCAGGATGAGTTTTGCTTTTCCTTTGGTGCCAAGCTGAACTCTCAGACCTGGCTCCTTTGGGGTGCAGGAAGTGGCTTGGAGGGGATGATTTTTCCATTTTTGGGACAACTTTTCCCATTCAATCCCTGTTGGTGCCTGTGGGGCTGTGGGGATCCCATGGGGCTGTGGGGCTGCAGGTGCCCATGAGAAGAGAAGGGGTGAAAGTGCAGTGGAGAACCAGGGGCTTCATTGAACATCACAGCAAGGTGTGGTTCCTTGGGTTTAGTGGCACCTGGGGCCACCAAGACCCTGCCACCATTCCCAGAGGCTGGGGGTGGGAATTGCCCTGTGCCTGTGCTCTTACAGCCCCCTCTGAGTCAGCTCATTGCACTCGTGGCTGGGGCTGGCAAAGCTCCCCGGGGTTGCCAGGAGCCTGGCAGGGAGCAGCACCCACTGTGGGGCTGGGCAGTGGCTCATGGTGAGGGCACTCACCCAGTCTCCATCTGCTCCTGCCCAGGGGAGCACACTCACACCTCAGGCAGAGCCCAGCCGTCCCTTCCAGGCTGGGTGGCCCCTGTGGCCACCAGCAATGGGCTACAGGGCAGTGCCCAGACACTTTGCCCTGGGCATCCCTTGGCTCTGCAGCCATCATGGGTTTGAGTGGGAGGGCAATTCCAGGCTGTGCCATCACCGCCTCTGAGCTGAGAGAGGACTTGGGGAAAGCCCTGGCACAGTGGTGACCTCCTGCAAGGCACTGCAGGGCTGGCACAGACCCCTCCAGGTGACAGCAGAGGGGTCTGTGCCAGCCTCAGCTTCTGGGAGTCCCTGTCCTGCCTTCCTGGAAGGTGTCACCTCAGGATGAGCTCCATCACCACGTTCTCATGGCATCCTGGGGTGTTCTCCACCACCTTGGAATGTGTCACTTTAGGGTGGGCTCCACCTCCCAGGCCAGAACATCTTGGGAGCAGGACTGTGACACCTTGTGTGGGCTCAGGGCCCTGGGCACAGCAGCCATGGGGACACCCACCCTGACCATCCCAGGCCAGTGGCCCCACAGTAACCAACCTGCCCAGAGCTGGGGACCTCTGTGTCCCAGGGGCACCCCTCTGGACTTGTTTGACCCTCCAGCACCAGCACAGCCACGGGCAGCACTGCCACTGGGTGTGTGTGAGAAAGGGGCTTGGGGTGCCTCGGGTGTGCGGGCTGCTTGTGCCACCTACATCCCTGCCACACCCCTGGGGCCTCACCCCAAGGAGAACCTGGTCTCTGTGGGTGCCCCATCTTACTCCCAAGGTGTTGGCTGAGCAAAGCAAGGCAGATGCCAGCCAGGTTGGCTCTGCTGTGACACCCTCTCCATCTGCCATCCTTATCTCAGTGTGTAGGTGACATCCAGCAAGGCAGGAAGGCCAGGAGACCTTGGCTGTGCATGGCCCTGGTGGCACAGAGGTCTCTGTGGGCTGGCACCAGGCTGGGAGGGCTGTGCCATGCCCAAGGACAAACACTCTTGCCATGTTCCCCTGTGTCCCACTCGCCGAGCTGGTGAAGTCCCAGCCTGGCCACTGGGTCAGGGTGACCAGATTGCTTCTGGAATTGCCTGTTCCCTGAGCTCTGCAGGAATAGCAGCAGCCCGGGGCTGTGCAGGGCTCCACTGAGCTATTTCCAGCTCATGGGGACATTTCCCTTGTTAGTGCCTGCTGGAGGGAGCCCTGAGCTCCTGTGCTGGTGAGGGCTGCAGGGGGGCAGGGGAGGCTTGGACAGGCACCCCAAGCCAGGAGGGGGTGCTGGCAGTGGCAGCATGGCCCTGGTGCCAGCTGGGCACCCTTGGGGGTCACACAGCCCTGGGTACGCTGCAGAAAAGGGCTCAGAGCTGTGTGGCCCTGTCCATGTGCTGGTGTCACCATGTGCTGGTGTCACCAGTGCTGCCACTCCCAGGGCTGGGCCCCCCTGCTCAGCATGGCCAGGCAGGGTCTGCCCCCACATTCCCATGGGCTTGAGGATCTTGTGGGACATCAGGCATTAGAATCCAGGCTGGCAAGTCCAAGGGGTGACCAGGAATGCTTGGGATGACCCAAGGAGGGATGAGGAGCCAGAAGTCTGGCCTTGAATGGACAGAGGGTGTCCCTCAGGGGACATCCCTGGGGTGGGTTGGTGAAGCCTCCCATGGCTGGAGGCCAGGAACAGTGAAAGCTCTTGGATGCCCTTCCTCTGGAAGAAGGAGCTCTTCCAGCCCCAGCCATGCCACAGCAGGTCCCCTGGGTCCCCCAGCACTCCCCCAAGCTGCAAGGGACACCAGAGGTGGATGTTCCTCGATGTACAGAGTGACATCTGCCTGTGCCAAAATACCTGACGTTTCCTGGCCCTCTGCTCACTGATGGACCCAGATCTCCTCAGCCAGGAAGCAGCAGGTGCTTCATCTCCCACCTTCCTCATCTTTGTGTCTTCTGCAAGTCAGGGTTCAGGGTCCCTTACAGACCTTGAGGTGGGGAGACAGTGGAAGAAACGCCCTGCAGCAATGATTCCCTATTTTAATCTCTATTCAGAAAGCTCCAAGCCTGGTTTTAACCCATTTGGTAGCTCCTGGTGACGTTTCTTTACCATATATTAATAAAAATATTGTATGGTTCTATGCAACCATTTACAGAAATCCAATCACTTCATAACTTTTTTAAACTAATCCTAAAATTTTCTGTACAAATGAGGTTAAGCTAGTTTGACAAAACTGTTTCCCAGACCTCCCTCTGCATTGAAAACCAGGAATATATTTGCTTTATACTGGATTTTTGGGATCATGAAGCTTCTGGGATGTGATGATGTGTCTGGGCATCCTGGGTTTTGGGGTGCACAACCCCATCCTCAGCCCCATCCTTGTGCTTGTGTCCTCTGGGCTGCTTGAGCCCTCGTGGGTCACTTCCCTCTGAAGGTGTTGGCCCCAAGTGGAGCTGGAGCCGGGCTCCCCCTGCTCCGAGTGCTGGGCTGGAGGAGCCTGGGGGGATGGCCCTGAGCGAGGCCATGGGAGGGAAGGGACATCACCCTCAAAAGGGGTCTCACAGGAGAGGTGGGGTCAGCATCAGGGCCAGCTGGAAAATCCCAGGAACTCCCTGGCAGCTCCTGTGTGTCCAGTCAGTTTCCATGAGGTTTTAAAGGGCTTTGCCAGAACAAAGGCAGGGTTGGGTATTTGGGATACAAGATCCCACCAAGACCCCCCCGGGAGGACACGGGGAGCACAGGACTTGCAGGAGCCAGTGGATAAAACCCCCAGGGAAGCAGGGATGGGGATCTGGGCAGGGAAGGGGGCGTGTGAAAAGCCATCCCCGCAGCCCTGCCATCGCCGGCCCCACGCTCACGGCTCCGGTTTCTGCTGGAGGGGGAGAGTGTCCCTCCAGGGCCACCTGTGCCCATCTGTCCCTTCTCACCGTCCTCCTGGAGGACCCGTTTTGCCGTCAGGTCGCTGCTGTTCCGTTCGATCCCGTGCAGGGATGTTCAGCCCTGCCCCTCCTTCCCGCACAGGCTGTTCTGGGTGCAAACCTGCCACGGCATCCTGTGGCACCCAGCACCGCGCCCTGGCGTCTCCATGCCCGCTGTCACCTCCTGAAAAAGCGTCCCCTGGCAGCTCATAAAACTCCCAGCACCAGAAAGGGGTGGCAGGGGCAATTCAAGCCAGGAACTCGCAGGGAGGTCAAGTCCCCGAAGGGAAAAGGGCGAGGTCTCCTCTCCGATGCCACCCATCTGCTTGGCACAATGCAAGGTGTGAACTCGGGGAGCCCCGGTGTCACTTTACACCCACGGGGGCCCCCAGGTGGGGACGTCACCCTGGGCTGGGCTGCGGGGCTGCTCCTCCCGCTGCCCCGTACAGTTGCCGTGCTGTATTTTTAGCCTCCGGAGGGTGTTAAGCCCGTAACCTTCGGCCCATTTTGCACTCATCGGCCCGCCTTGTGCAGGTCAGCACAATTCACCGTGGATCGGGCGACCATGTAGGGGAAACAGGGAGAAGGAGGTGGAGAGGGGACAGGGACTTTCTGTCGGACCTTGAAGGTCACAGGAAATGAAGCCCGTGAGCAGCACGGGGCAGGGACATCCCCATCTGAGTGCCTGGGGGATATTTCCCCTTTTCCTCGAGGGATGGCTCGTGGTGGGCACTGGCATTGCTGTTGTGCCAGGCCATGGTGGGTGATGGGTCAGAGGGGGCACACAGACCCCAGACAAAGCCCTGAGGACTCTCAGGGTCTCCTCTGCCTGGTCCTGCCCTCCTCCTCTGCTTTGACCATCACTCCTCTCCCAGCTCTCCAGGTCACCAGCTATTTTGGGGCCAAACTGAGAATGTCCCTGCTCCCATCAGCTGAGGGAACCCTCTAATGACTCAGGCTGGTTCCCAGGCCACTGGGCCAGGCAGGGCCATGTTGGCCCCAGTCACTCAGGGCTTTGCAGGTCAAATATAAATATTTCCATTCAAAAGGCTCCTGCAGGGTCCCAGGGGTCTTCAGGAAGGTGACCTGAAGGACCAGGGTGGAAGGGAGGGGTGTGGGAGCTGCCCACAGCTATCTGTCTCCATCTGGGAGCTGAGCTGGGCGCCTGGAGGCACCTGTGAGCTGCTGCCAGCAGAGGACAGGGAGGTCAGCGAGGCCAGAGCAAGGGTGACCTGTGCATCCCATTTGGGCAGGCTGAGGGGCTGTGGCAGCGGCTGCAGCTCTGCTCTGCCAGGGAACCAAGAGCCACTGGCAATGAGGGCAGGCTGGGGGCAGCCTGTCCTCCCCAGTGCCCGCTGCTGGCGTGGCATGAGCTTCCCAATGCGACCTGATCCCAGCCCACAGCTCCAGCAGCCCCAGTGCCATGGAGCTAAAACCACCCCCTGGCATCCCCAGGGCAAACCGGGCTGAGGGGTCTGGGGCTGGCCCCACACTGACCCCAGCACAGCTCCTCCTGTGCTCGGCCACCACAGGCCCTGTGGCCAAACCCAATGAGCTCCAATTTTGGCAAAGTCCTGCAGGACACAGTCCTGTGGCTCCTGCATGAACATGGAGCAGGAGCCAGAGCACAGGGCTGGCCATGCCCCTCTCCTCCTGCAGCCTGGATAGAGGTGGCCTTTTTTCCTGCTTGGCTTCTGCCTGCCAGCTGGAGTACAAAGGAATTATTTTCCTCTGAAACGCTCCCCTGGCATGAGACGTTTGGGGGGATTATTTAGACTAGCAGCAACTGTTTGTAACGGAGACAGTATAGCCGTGATCTTTTATTTTTGGCACCCGCTGACTGATGTTAAATTGCAGTTGGAGCCTATGGAAAATACGGATGGATTCTCCTGGGCCACAGAACACACTCATTGTGTCCCCAGCAGCAGCACGGCGTGGCACATGCTTTCCTAGTGAAGGGACACTTACAATAAATAGCTCCCAAGCCCCATGGCCAGGGTTAGGCAGGATCCCATGCTGGGCAGCCCCTCATGCCAGGAAGCCCCTTCCTCCTCCTCCTCCCCTTCACTTCACCACCCACCTTGGCTGGTGTGATGCTCTCTCAAGTCAGGGCTGGGGAAGGACCCTTTTAACCTGCCAAGTGCCCACAGCCCCTCAAAATTTGCCATTTTTACTCCTTTCCCCATCTTTAGGACAGCTTTGCCACCTTCCTGCAGTGCTTTGGGGTGGGCAGCAGCCCCAGTGCCAGGCAGCCAGGGCTGGTGGAGCCATAGAGCCCCTGCCAGCTCCGCTTTCCCCCCACAAACGTCTTTGCACCCAACTTCTTGCGACAGGGACAGAAAATGGAGCTGGAGCTGGAGAAGGCTTAGGGAAGAGTTTAAACCTCTTGGTAGAGCCACAGCTCGCCCCTCAGGGCCCTGGCAGGTGTGGGACTGACTGAGCTGTTCTCATCGTTTAGAGCCGCGCGCCCCCAGCACGGGCCATGGGCACGGCGCTGCCCAGAGCCCCCCGCCCGGCACGGAGCCCCCGCTGCAGGAGAAGGCACACGATGGCAGCCCCGAGGAGGAGCAAGGAACTGCCAGTGCCTCCGTGCCTGGTGTCACCGAGGAGGGACACGGAGAGGGGGAGAAAGAGCCGGCGGGTGGCCTGAGGAGGGGCCTGGGGCCAGGGGACAGCCAGACAGAGGAGAGCAGCAAGGAGCAGGGCCAGGAAGAACAGAGCTCAGGGGAGGAATCCATGGCAGCTCATCGTGGAGGGAACCATGGGCCTGGCACACAAGATGACATCCATGCCCAGGAGGATGAGGAGCCTGGCACAGAGCAAGGAGGCTCTGAGGAGGAAGGGCAGCCAGGGGAAGAGCAAACAGAGGAGCCAAGAGCAGCATCTGCTCCTGAGGGAGAGGAGGAAAGGGATGAGCAGAGCTCAGAGGAAGATGACGAGCAAGGAGAGTCTGAGGAAGGTGAACACGGGGAGTCTGAGGTAGATGGAGGCAAGGAAGAGTCTGAAGAGGGAGAGTCTGAGGAGGAGAAAGACTCTGATGAAGATGGTGACAGGCCAGAGAATGAATCTGGAGAGAATGATAAGGAAGCAGCTGGCACTTCCAACACAAAGAGCCACAGCACACCAGCAGCTGCTGGCACAGGAGAAGCCAGGGATGGCCCTGGCAGCTGCCATCACCCACCCTGTGGGGATGCAGCAGAAGACCCACCAGCAGCAGTGGAAGACCCACCACCAGCAGAAGACCTGCCAGCAGCAGTGGAAAACCCACCAATGGTGGAAGATCCACCAGCAAAAGAAGACCCACCAGTAACAGAAGACCCACCAACAGCAGAGGAAGACCCTCCAGCAGCAGCAGACCCCCCTGCAGGGGCAGAAAACCCCCCAGCAGCAGCAGCAGACCCCCCTGCAGACAAGACCCCACTGGCAGGAACAGAGGTCCCCAGCACCACCGAGACCCAGCACAGCCAGATAGGTTGGAGTCTTTTCTTGTGGGTGTGCTGTAGCAGCAGGAGTGACCTCCCATCAACCCAGCGGAGCTGAGCTTGGCACATTAAACCTGACCTAGTGCATGGCCCTCTCCTAACGCTTCTGCTTCCCTGCCCGCCCTAACAGCGCCCGGCGTGGGCAGTGAGGCTGCAGCAGGATGCCCAACACGCGGGCACTCATCGCAGTGGTGCCAACACTGACTGATGTTCCCCTCTCTCCACTCCAAGTCCATGATTTCTCCTCAGGGATGTGGACATGGATAAAATGTTTAACCTCCAGGCCCCTTTCAGCACTCGCAGATCTCCTAAAGACTCTTTAACCACCACCCACAGAGTCCTCCGGGCCCTCGGCTTGTGCAGGGGCAGGATGCTCCTGGGATTGTGGGGCTCCCAGGATTGTGGGGCTCCTCTCCACCAGTTCTTGGCTCATAGGGAAGGTGTGAAGAGCTAATCCAGGCCAATGAGCTGCTGAGGCACCAGCCCCGCTCAATCAGTGAAAGGCTAACTAGGGGAAAGGGACACCCCCCACCATGATTTCCTAGAATTATTTGTAGACTTTGGCCCACAGGTTGGGCAGCGACCTTTGGACCCAGATTAGTATTTTTGTTGTTTTCATCTGTAATGTCCCAGCTCAAAAAGCCTCCCATTTTACCCAAAAGACAAACCCAGTTTGGTCTCTGTGTTTTCACTTGGCAAGTCAAAAGGTCTTCCTCAGCCCAACACTCAGTAGATGCTCAACACAGTCTCAGGGCTTAGTGGTGCCCTGCTTGATCCTGCTGTCCCCAGGCCCCCGCTAAAGTCCAACCCAGCTTCCCATATCAAAAAGCTCTTGGAAGCTCCTGGTGTGCCAGCACCTCCATGGCAAGGACACCCCTGTCTCCCTGTTTTGGGGACAGTGGGGCACCTTCCCCACTGGAGGCAGCTGCCTCATGCTCCTCATGCCTGGCATGGAGCCATGAGGGACAGGGTGCTGTGCAGAGGGCAGGGGCACATGGGGACAGAGGTGGGAGAACTGGGAGGGAACAACCCCACTGGCAAAGGTAGGGCAGGCTGGCCTGTCCCCCAAGAGCCAGAGGCAGCCCCAGCCTGGGACCCCACGTCTCCAGCTGACCCTGCAGGTTTCTGGGGGAGCGGGCAGCCAGAGAGACAGCAGCACCCAGCCTGCAGCCGAGGCCGGGCCCACAGAGCCGCAGCTGCCGGGGGAAGCACCAGGGCCCCACTGGGCAGCAGCTGCCGTGTGCTCGTGCTACATCCCAACCCCGGGAGCCGCTTCCAGGCACATCCTTCGCATTCCCCACGAGCAGCCAGCCCCTCCTCGGAGCCAAGCAGTTGCCCATGACGCTTCCCCCAGCAGCCACAGCCCTGGCAGCCTCCAGGAGCCTGTGCTAAAGGGAAAGCACGTGGCACGCGAAGGGTGACAGCGGCTGCCGTGGGCATGGCGTGCCCGCAGGCTCGGGGTGTGTGTGCTCCCCATGCCCTCTCCCTGGCAGTCGCTTGTGTGAGCTCCTGGGTGGGTTCCCCCCTCCAGCAGTAACAGGTCTCCTTGTTTTCTCCTCCAGAAGAGGTTGAAGATGCCAGCGAGCCGACCAAGCGCGACCGGTCCCACTTGGAGAACACCCTGAAGCTCAATGAGGAGAAACCTGCCGATGACGTCTCAGGTGAGGAGGCCACGCATGCCCTGCACTAAGACCATGGACAGGACTTTCCTTCTCTTGTGTTTTGATTTTAACCTTGCTTCTTGCAGGTCTAGTAATGCCAGATCTTCAGTAAGAGCCCTTTGGCTGGTCTTGGGTTAACGTAGTTTAGGTATTTTAAGGATATCACCAAGGACATACAAGAATTAGGAAGGTATAGAGGCTGGAAGATGCAGACAGTGAATCAGGCACATCCTTGCTCAAAGAAACCTGGAGCAACTTGTGACAAAGGGTTGGGATTTTTATTCCAATTATATATTTGGTTTTGCTACTCTAAGGTTTGTTTCTGCTGGCCCTGTTGGCAGTTTGGGCTGGAAAGGCAGTGATAAGAGATACTGTGGAAAAAGCTCCTCCTTTCTTCTAGCAAGCAGCTCAGGGGCCATGCCAGGGGGCCCTGGCACCAGGGTGGAGGGCTTTTTGGGATCGTGGGTGTTGAGTGCTAAAGCAGTTAGGAAAGGTGCTCCTCCCATCAGCTGCTGGGAGCAGATGGGGACAGTGCTCAGTTGGAAACATTAGCAGGGGAGAAGCATCAAAATCCTAGAACAGTTTGGACTGGGAGAGACGGTGAAGACCATCTCATCCCACCCCTCTGCCATGAGCAGGACATTTTCCATAGACCAGGCTGCTCCAAGCCCTGTCCAACCTGGCCTTGAACACTTCCAGGGATTCAGGGGCTGCCACAACTCTGGGCAAAATGTGGCTGGGATCAGTTTGGCCAATATTTCAGCTGTAAGCCAAGTCCCTTGATCCATGACTGGGCCACCTTTGGGACCTGCATGGGCCCAGGAGGGTCTCACCCAGCCTGGTGGGGCTTGCCTCTCACCTGCCCCATGCTTTGCCCCCCAGGAGTATTGCAGCGGCTGAGGAAGATCTACCACTCCTCCATCAAGCCCCTGGAACACTCCTACAGATACAACGAGCTGAGGCAGCACGAGATCACAGGTAATGCCATGGGCACTGGGGTCTCCAGCACCAGCAGGTCCTTGGGATGCAGATAACAGCACAGAGAGCAGATCATGGGCAGATAACAGCACAGAGAGCAGATCATGGGCAGATAACAGCCCAGAGAGCAGATCATGGGCAGCCTTGGATTGTGTGTCCTCCTTTGCAGCTTCCCAGGGAGTCCATGAACATGCTGGGCTTAGAGGCCATGCCCTAGTGAACCCAGCAGCAGGAATTCCTGCCTCTGCCTCAGCCCATCTGCTGTCAGGGCCATCTGTGTGGGCTGAGCACTGAGCCCTGCCTGCCTCGGGTCTCCCACCTGCTCAGCATCAATGCCCTGTACCCCTGCCAAGCACAGATCATGGCCCAATGAAACAGGCTTGGCAAGGAAGCTCAGGACCTCTCAAGGCTGGGGATGAGCTTCCTGGGGGTGGCAGGAGCTGGCATCCTTCCTGCTGGGTACAGGACACAGCCATGTGGGCAGGGTGTTCCTCAAGCTCCACAGCCTTCACTCATCCTGAGAGTTGGAGTTTCCAGCCCTTGGCAATCTCAGACACAATGGATGGGGTGAGCCCCATCCTGTGGCCCCTGGCATGGTGTGGGCTGAGCCAGGTCACACATGTGTCCCTCCAGAAGAGGAAAGTGCAGCCCTGTCCCAAGATGCTCACAAGTTACAGGAAGTTCTTGTGACCCAAGAAACACAAGCAGCCTCATTTTCCAAGCACAGATGGCTCAAACCCACGTCTGACTTCCTTGTTCACTGCAGTAATTCTTCTCTGAGTATCTATTCAAGCACAGGAGCCAGGGCCAGATGTCTCCTGAGTATCCAGGTGCTGCTGGAGTCCCTGCTGCCAGTGTCCCAGGACTTCGTGCCCATGTCCCCCTTCTGCCAAGGTTCTGGAGTTGTCCTCCTTGTCCTGCAGCTCTGCCTGCCTCCCCAGGGGTCCAGGCCCACCCTCCTGGAGCCATGCCCTCCCTTCTATTGAGGCAGGACTGGGATGCACCCTGGGGTGAGGGTATATCTGTGGGATATACCCTGCCCACAGATCTTCCTTTTACAGCTGGCCTTGCTCCACCAGCACACAGGCCCCACACTCAGCTGGGGCACATCCCTGTAGAGCAGAACTCTGGCTTTCCAGGCATCCCTCCTGCAACTCCTAAGTCTGAGCCAGACATTCTCTAAGCAGGCTTGGACATCTCCCTACCCTGCCAGGCCATCTCCAGTGTAGAGCCAGTGTGGAGCACAGGGAAGTTACCCTGTGGGAGGGTAATTGAGGTTCACAACATGTCCTAATTGTCACCCCATGTCTGCTGGCCTGTCTCCTGGCAACACCCCAACTTCCTCTCCAAGCTGCTCTGGTGTTTGATGTTTTCTGTCAGTTCAACCTGGGCCACAGTTCAGGAGGATGTTTGGGGTTACAGGGCAGCTGGTGGGCTCTAACCCCCCTTTGCTGTTCACAGCCAGAGCATGTAGTCCCCAGCTACAGTTTCCAGCCCTTAGGATGTCCTGCCCTACCTTAGTCCATCCCATGCCCAAGCAGCCACCTCCCTGCTCCCTTTTTGGGAGGAAACAAGTGTTTGTGTTCCCCAGGCTCCTGCTGGCTTTCTCAGCTCCTGAGGTTCACCATTCACCCTGGTGTTTTCCCAGCCTCTCTCAAACCCAGCTCCTGAGCAGGACTCACCTCAGACAGCAGGTCCTGGTGTTCCTTCCGGCCTCACCTCAACACTCCATGGTCTGTTCCACCTCACTGTGAGGAACAGCCACCCCTCAGGCTGACAGTCCCCAGGTCAGGTCCCAGCACACCCTGCTGTGTCCTACAGGGCACCCTCACGGTGTTGTGACCCTGGATCTGGCAACCCACTGTCCCCTCCTGGCCGCCAGGGAAGGGCACAGGGATGCTGCACTGCCTCCAGTCCTTGTCTCAGCTGTGAGACACCCTGGCCATGCTCCCCTCCAAAAAATTTAGACACCAAACTTTTTGAATGATCTCTGACAGCCCAGCCATACCCTGGCATGCACAGCCCTATCTGGAAACCTACAGCTCAGCAGTTTGCCTTTCATACCCACAGATCCAGCTTTCCCCAGCCCTCATTAGCAGTGTAATCAGAGAAACCTGCACATTAGTTCCAGGGTTGGCCCAGGGAACTCTCTTGACCTTGGAGGGCAGGTGAGGACACAGTGGAGCTCAGGAAGCCTTCTCAACACTTCCCCTGAACAGTGCCCGTGTCCCAGGCGGGTTCATGCCATCAGTGCTGTCCCTGCAGGCTGGGAGGTGCTCCCAGCTCCCCCCTGTGCCCCCTGTCCGTGGTGGGGGGAGGCTGGAGGGTACAGAGCTGCCGGCTCAGCTGGCTGGGAGCAGCAGGACAGCTGGGGGAGCTTTGGGGCTGGCCTGTCATGGAATATGTGTGACCTTTGGAGGTGTAAACCAATATAGAGGGGTGCCGTGGCAAGCACCCTGGCCCCTCCATTATGTGGCAGCCTTCCATTTTGTCTCTCTTCCCATCAGCTCCTCTCACTGCAGTGTAATCCAAAGAGCTCCCCTGCTCCCCACAACATGTGAAAACTCCCATGGAGTCCTGTGGGAGCTGTGGCTGTCACCATCAATTCTGACTTGTCAGGGTGCATCTCAGAAAGCTCCCACACACCCTCTGCTTCAGCCTGGCAGATGCCATTTCCTTCTCCCTGCCTGCCACCCTCCTGCCTCTCTGCTCTGCCATCCCACGTGGATGCAGTCATGCTCTGGCTGGGTCCAACTCTGTGCTTGGAGGGGCTATCTCTAGCTGAGGGTGAGGGATTCTCCCAGTCCAGCCATGGAAAGCTTGCTGTGAGGTCACACCAGGTTGTGGTGCATGCTGGTGACCCTAATTACTGATGTATGCTAATTAGCAAGTGTCCCTGTATAGGGAATGACCTCCCAGATGCCATCACCAGCCACAGGGGCTGGCTCCAGGTGACCCTGTCACCGGGGTTGTCAGGACACTTGCTGGGTTGGTGGCTGTCTAACCCTGGCTTGTTGGGCTCCGTGTGCTCTGTGGGTGATGCCAGGGAAGGCAACAACCCCGCAGAGCAGGAGCTGGGATGCAGAGCACCCCGAGCCACATCCCCGCCCTGCAGGGCAGACAGGGGTTCAGTGCTTGTCCTGGGAGCTGCAAGCTGCTCCCAGGCTGTAACTCCTCGTCTCCTGCTGGGAATGTGGCCATCGGTTCCCTCCTTGTCGTGGACCACTCCCGGGCTGTCGCATCCCTCCTCGGACTCACGGTTCCTTTTCTCTCTCCCCGTGTCCCTCGCTAACAGCTTACCCCGGACGCACCCTGGGCTCCTCGGCCACAGGTTGGTATCGCCGCCTGCTCCCTGCATGCTGCCGGCACTGCCTGCGCTCTGCGCTGCCCCGCGGCTTCCCCGGGCTCCCGGGGAATGCGGCCGCACTGCCCAGGCACCGAGCAGGGCTGTACCCACCGGGACAGCGTCCCCAGCCCCTCCAGAGCCCGCACTTGTCCCAGCCTGACTCTGCGTGTCCCGACAGCGCCCTTCCCTCCAATCCTCACCTTGCACAGGCTCTGACACCTTTCCCTCTTGGTTTAAGACTGAGAGGCAGAATATTCCTCTGGCCAGGGTTCAAAGGTGCTTCTGGTAGTCCTGTGAGAGGGAGATGGGGGCTCAGTCTGGAGAAAGGGAGCCTCGGGGTCCTTCTCACTCTCAACTCCCTGACAGGAGGGTGGAGCCAGGTAGGGACCATCCCAGGGAACAAGGGACATGACAAGAAGAAATGGCCTCAAGTTTTGCCTGAGGAAGCCTGAATATATTGGGAAAATTTCTTCAGAGAAAGGGCTGTCAGGCCCTGCCATAGCTGCCCAGGGCAGTGGTGGAGTCCCTAATCCCAGGGGGATTTAAAAACCCTCTAGATATGGCACTTGGGGATGTGAGTTAATGGTGGCCTTGGCAGTGCTGCAGGAACATTTAGAATTGGTCATCTTAGAAGGCTTTTCCAACCTAAAGTATTCCATGATTGTATGTGTTGGACCTTTAGGTTGATCTCTCACCCATGGCATGAACTGGAGGAGCCCAGATGATAGCTCGTCCTATAGAGGGGATCTCTTCCCACCCTTCGCCCTCCTACGTGAGAAACTTTCCTGAATGTCCACCCCTGATCCCACAGCAGCTGTCCCAGTAACACGGGCTGGCCCCTGCCCAGCTAAAGCCCGAGCTGGCTCCTCTCCCTGCCTATCCTGCTCAGGGTGTGCTGCCAGGTCCCCCAGGAGGATCAGGAGATGGGAGACAGTCCAAGAAATGCCAGCCAACACCCAGCCCTTCCCCTGGGCCTGGTGCTCAGCCACAGGAACAATGTTCCCGCAGGGAAATCCCATCTTGTGTCCCTGCTGTCCTGCCCCACGGCCACGCTGCCACACCCTGCCAAGCCAGGCTCCCTTGGGCATGGCCACACCGAGCCCTGCTGGTGCCAGGAGAGCCTCTGGCTCCCTGCAGTGCCAGCAATGCCAGTGTGGCAGCAGTGCAGAGGGCTGGGGCTATTTATAGCATATTCCGATAGCTGCCTTATCTCATCTCGGGCTCAGGCGCTCGCACACGTGCTGCCAGGGTGGGCACAGGCTGGGGGGCACACGGGGGAGGCACAGGCTGGCTCAGCCACGTGGGCTGGTCTCTCCATCTGTGGGCACGTGTGTTGTCAGGGTACTCATGGATTTGGAAGCTTTGGGAGCAAGGGGTGCCCCCTCCAAGGGTTGCTGGATCCGTGCTGTGGGCACGTGGCTGGTGGTGTTTGTGGCACAGGGGTGGGACAGAAGTGTGGGTGATGCTGGGAGTGTCCCCAGGTGTTCCAGCCTTCCTGGGTGGCTTGAGGACAAAGAAAAGCTTGATGCCCATGGCTCAGTAGGAACCAGGAGAGGAAGGAGGTTTTGCTAGGTCCTCAGCTTTGCTCAGCATCCTCAGGACAGACTTGCACTTGGGGGAGAGGCCACACCAGGCACATCTGCTAGGCTTGAGGACAAGAGGAGACAAGGCCTTGCCCAGGATTAATCACAGAACTATGGAAAGATTTGGGTTGCAAAGGACCTTAAAGCCCACCCAGTTCCACCCTCTGCCATGGACAGGAACACCTTTCCCTAATCCCAGGCTGATCCAAGACCCATCCAACTTGGCCTTGGACAATTCAATGGATCCAGGGGCAGCCACAGCTTCTCTGGGCAACCTAAGCCAAGGCCTCCCCACCCTCACAAGGAAGAATTTCTTCCTAAATCCCATCTAACCCGGCCCTTTCTCAGTGTGAGGCCATTTCCCTGTGCCTTGTCACTCCAGACCCTCATCCAAAGTCCCTCTCCAGCTCTCTTGGATCTTCTTTACTCACTGAAAGGAGCTCTAAGTTCTCCCCAGAGCTGCCTCTTCTCCACCCCAGAGCAGCAGTGCTTCCAAACGAGGGCAGCCTGGCACTGCCACATGGCAAAACCTCACAGAACGCCACTGCTCTAGGAAACAAAACTACTTGGACAGCCGAACTGCTCCTATGCCCCGAGCTGAGTAGCCCAAACAGACCCAGGCTCTGCGGAGGGCTGAGCTTGAGGCTCGTCTGAGCTTGAGCTGAGAGCGAGCAGCCACAGGGTGGCTGGAGAGAGCCGCTGTGATGGAGCTGCCGCCATCCCCGCCCGGCCGGCAGCGAGCCCCGGCTCCTTCCCGCTGTCCGGGCCGTCAGGCTGAGCCGAGCTGCGGCTGACAGACATGGCACGGGGACGTGGCACGGACAGATGCCAGGCCAGCACCCTCCCGGGGGGGAGATGCTCCCCCTCTCCCACCCTCTGGGCAAGCAGCAGGGAAATCCATACCCGGCCTCACATCCTTGCAGCTCCTGCGCTTCCTGCAGAGTTGCAGTGCCTGGCACTGCCCACACAGCCCGTGGGGGGCACAGAGGTGCTCGAGGGGCTGTGGGTGACCAGCCAGGGGGGCTGCCCACGTCGCTGCCCACCTTGGCTCCGTGCAGCAAAGCCAGAGCTCACAGGTGCCCACACTCACACAGTCACACCTGGCCAGGGATGTGTTACGAAAGAGCACACGGGGACCCACCCCAAACCTCTGGCACAACATCACAGGGATAATGGTAATAATAACAACCATCCTAACCTAATTAAAGCTGGCAAGAGAGCAGAGCAGCGGCGACAGAGCGGCAGAGGAATGATTAATAATGAGAGGCCAAGGTTTCAACACTTGTTTTGGTCCCATGTGAGAAGACAAGGCTGGATTCCTGCAGCTGCCAGGCAGGGAGTAGGGTACAGGAAGAGCCATGCATCCCCTGCTTCAGAAGTGCTGCCCTGCTTTGTGAGGAGGGCTGAGCTGTATGGATGCAGCAGTGCCTCATGGAGAGATGTCCCAGCCCATTCCCTTCCCCAGAGGTGACACAGTGATCCTGTGAAGGGCAGGTACAGCAGGAGCAGGTTGGAATGCTCTCCCCAGCGCCTGCTCCCACAGCCAGATGGGTTCAGTGTGAAGCTGCCATGCAGTGCCCTCCAGCACCCTCGGGGCAGGAGCTCAGCACCATGGGGGCTTTGTGGTTTTCCCCACCTTGGAGATGGATCCCTGGCCTGCTGGAATGCTGCTGGCTCCTGCATGGGTGGCAGCCATGGAGCATCAGGGGCTCTCAGCTACCTCATGGAAAATAGTTCTGCCTCAGGCATGGGGATGAAGAGAAGGTGCTGGGGGCAGCACAGCTTGCTCAGGGCATCTCCTTGTCTCCTTGCCTTGGGCCATGGGGGAAGGCTCTGCTCCAGCTGAGATAACAGCTCCCAGCTCTTCTGGTGTCATCCATCCCCTGGCTGAACTCCTGCTAGCAACAACAAGATGGACCCTCTCCCACCCTGAGCATAGGATGGGGTTGGTTTTCACCAACGGGAACTCACCCAGTTTTACTTCCATTCTTGTCCTGTTTATTCTTGTCCTGCTTCAGACTCACAGGCTCCCATGTGTCCCGGGCACAGCTTGAGGGCTGGCACAGGCCCTGGGCTCCTCTGGCTCCACTGGCTGCCTACCTGGGCTCCTGGGGGCTGGGGGGTCGAGCAGTGTGGGCACAAGCTGATTGCATGAGTCCTGTTTGAGCAGGGGTTGCTCCTGGGGGCGCTGGCTGCGTGTGTCCAGGGACCTCTGTGCTCCTGGACTGATGGCATGGCACGGGGACAGGTCACCATCCTCGTGGAGAAAACTGTGACTTGAAAAACACAGGATGGGGACTACAGTTCACTCTCCTTTTGCCTTTCCCCAAGCCCAAAGCGGGGTTGTTTGACTTCCCCAAATCCAGCTTGAGCCTCACACCCAGCTCACACCCAGGCAATGAGCTCCTGCTCTGCCGGAGGGTCAGGAGGCACGGTCCGGGGGTGGGTCCCTGCGAGGGCATGGTGGAAAGGCTTGCAGGCAGCTGGCTCGAGGCTCGCACCGCGCTTTCCATGCCCTGCGCCGCTGCTCCCGAACCCACGGCAGCTCCCTGTGCACGGGGCCCGGCATGGCCCCTCCTCGGCATGGCCCGTGCTTTGCGGCGGCTGCCTCCAAACAACACCCCCAGCCCGCAGCCAGCCCCAGACTCACCCGCCTAAACCAGAAACAAACCGAGACAAGGCTTAAAAGACCTTCCAGTCCTCCGTAGTCTAAGAAGGGCTAAAGCTCGGAGGTGGCGAGGCAGCGAGGTGGGCTCTGCCGCAGAGCACGGGGCCGTCCCGCTCCCGCAGCCGGCGGCGCTGCCTTGGCTGGCGAATGGCTGGTGGCCCCAGGGCGGCTGATTCCCCGGCAGCAGCACCGCGCCGCTCACATGGGATGCTCGTTACAGCCGCGAGTTAATCGCACGGCGGCGACGGCTATTGTTCCTTCACTTCCTCTTGTTATTTCCCCTCTCCGCAGATGGGGAGATCACTTCCAAGCCTATGGTGCTATTCCTGGGACCGTGGAGCGTCGGCAAATCTTCCATGATAAACTACCTCCTGGGGCTGGACAACACTCCCTACCAGCTCTACACAGGTACCACACTCACTGCTTTGCCAAGGGGGTGCCAACACCTGCATTTCCACATCCCTGCAGTCAGCAATTCCCAGCCGTGTGTCTTCAATCCCTCCATACAGCCAGGAGGTTGGATCTGCTCCATGACACCTGGCTGTGGTGCCACGGAGGGAGAGGTTCCCCATCACAGCCTGTCCACCCTTCCAAGGGTGGAGGAGAGCATCTCTCCCACAAAATCCTCATCCTGCAGCACAGGGCTCACAGCTCCCAGTGCCAAACCTGTGAGCAGCAGTCATGTCAAAAGGGCAGCTCACCTTTCTCTTCTCCCCATCCCTCCCCACATGCAGCCAGCTCATTCAACCTTCCAGGAGAAATGCCATTCCCTTTCCTTCCTCCCTGCTCCCACAGACGTCATCTCACAGCTAAGGGCAAATGTCCATGGCCAGATCAGTGCTGTGGTAATGAGGGCTCCCAGGAGATGGTTCTCCATGACACCTTGTACAGTCAGGCCATTTCCAGAGAAACCAGTCCCCACAGAAAACAACCCCATGACATCTTCCCAAGAGAAGTCAGGGCAGGAATTTCATGCTGTTCGTCTTGTCCCTGCATCTCTTGAGAAGCACGCGATGCTCTCAATGCTCCCAGGCTCAGGCCAGCCCTGTTGTGTTCATAGCCTAGCATGGATTTCATGCCTCTGCTGCTCCTCTCGTTGCTGCACAGGGGCAGAACCCACCACCTCCGAGTTCACTGTCATCATGCATGGGCCCAAGCTGAAGACCATTGAGGGCATCGTGATGGCTGCTGACAGTGCCCGCTCCTTCTCGCCCCTGGAGAAGTTTGGGCAGAACTTCTTGGAGAAGCTGATAGGCATTGAGGTCCCCCACAAACTGCTGGAGAGAGTCACCTTCGTGGACACGCCGGGCATTATCGAAAACCGCAAGCAGCAAGAAAGAGGTAGGGGTTCACTGGGTTCATCTAAGGGACCCCAGAAAAGATGCCATGGTGATCTGAGGTGACAAAGGTGGCTGAAGCACAATTGAGTCCTGACACAACACAGGCTGCCCAGGACAGTGGTGGAGTCACCATACCTTGGTAGGATTTAAAAGATGTGTGGATGTGGCACTTAGGTACATGGTTTACTGGTGGCCATGGCAGTGCTGGGGGAATGGTTGGACTCAACGATCTTAGAGGACTTTCCCAACCATAATGATTCTCTGATCCTGTGATTCAGTATCTGCTCACAGGAACATCAGGAACCCGTGGTCAGGAGCAGGGAGAAGGAGGGTCGGGAGATAAGGGTGAGAGAGACGGGCAGTCACAGGCCCAGACACCCATGGATGGGGTTTTGTGCCAAGAAGCTCCAAAGTGTTTTTAACAAGTGAGAAAGAGATTCTAGGCTACAGGGGAAGTTCACTGTGCCTCACAACCCATGCAACCAAATGGGGACTGAGGCACAGCAGGCTCACATTTATCAATCCCCTTGGTTAAGGGACTCATCCTGCATTGGATTTCCCTGTTTCCTCTCCTCAAGGTTACCCATTCAACGACGTGTGCCAGTGGTTCATTGACAGAGCCGATCTCATCTTTGTTGTCTTTGACCCCACGAAGCTGGATGTGGGCTTGGAGCTGGAGATGCTGTTTCGTCAGCTGAAGGGCCGCGAGTCTCAGATCCGAATCATCCTGAACAAAGCTGACAGCCTGGCTACCCAGGAGCTGATGAGAGTCTATGGCGCCTTGTTCTGGAGCTTGGCTCCTCTCATCAACGTCACAGAACCACCCAGGGTGTACGTTAGCTCCTTCTGGCCCCATGACTACAATCCAGAAACCCACAGAGACCTGTTCCTCAAAGAAGAGATATCGCTCCTGGAAGATCTCAACCAGGTGATTGAGAACAGGATGGAAAACAAGATTGCCTTCATCCGCCAGCACGCCATCCGGGTGCGCATCCACGCCCTGCTGGTCGATCGCTATCTACAGACCTACAAGGACAAAATGACCTTCTTTAGCGATGGAGAACTGGTGTTCAGGGACATTGTGGAAGATCCTGACAGGTTCTATATCTTTAAATCCATTCTGGCAAAGACCAATGTCAGCAAATTTGACCTCCCCAACCGTGAGGCTTACAAGGACTTCTTTGGCATCAATCCCATCACCAGTTTTAAGCTGCTATCTCAGCAGTGTTCCTACATGGGAGGGTGTTTCCTAGAGAAGATCGAGAAGGCCATCACCCGTGAGCTTCCCGATCTCTTGGGAAGCATCGGCTTGGGGAAGAAGCCCAATGTCCTCTCCTGTGACGTCACTGGCTGTGGCGAAACCCCAAAGAATCGCTACAGGAAACCCTAAGGTGATCCAAAACCCAACTGTCCACGTGTTCCTACTGGTGAATGAGCTTATGTCTTATCTGTCCAAGAAGCCGTGGTTTGTTAACCCTTTGAGTGCCGCGCTGGCAAAGGCTACCGTACGATGAGGACTTTGAGTCATTGACATCGATGGCAGGGGAAGATGGGTGGGCATAAGGAAGAGAATAAAAACTGTGAATTCCTGACATTTTATCTTTGTTCTTTTGAGTAGAAGGCAATGTTTAAGCTGTAAGTATGAGCAATGCATGGGCAGGACTGCAGCTGCTTTTCCACTGGTGCCGAGAGTGCATGAAGAGGAATTTCAACCTCTGCATCCCTGAAGCCATGAGGGAATGATAACAAGGGCACAGCTTGAGAACACAGGGGAAAGCAGTGACACACTAACCCAGGCATCACCGGGAGCACTGGTCAAGGAAAGAGAGGCCACGTCCTGTTGTTTTCAGGCACAAACCTGCTACAAATCTCAGCAAATATTGATCTTGTTTTTATTCCCAAGACCGCTAGGGCACCTGGTGAGTTCTGTTTTCACTTGACAGCTCAGTTGATTTTCTGCAGCCTTCATGTGGGTGTTTGACTTACGAAGGAGCATTTGCAGGGACGTTTGTAGCTCCAGACAGGCAGCCGTGATGGGATTTGCAAGTCCATGGCAAAGGAAGAAATGGGGTGGAAAGGAGCAGCTATCACTGGCTGAGCTGTGCTGGAGAAGGAGGGCCAGCACCCCAAACCAGATGGTCCCACAAGGAGATGTGAGCAGGGTTTCCTTCCCTGGACCAGCACAGAAGAAGGCACTTCATGCCTATGTGTGTCCTTAACCTCAAAACCCATGCTAGCAAGTCTTGTCTTTGGACCAGCAGCGCTCCGAGGGTGAGGGTTTGGCAGTTTGCCTTTGTTCAAGTCCATGTTGCTCTTTTCTCAGTCAGCCCTCCGTGGTTTTGCACTCTGTGGAGGGAGGCAGGAAGGGGCATCATTAGGTGTGAAGTTAAAAAGGTCACATCCCTTTTGCCTACCTGGTGATCTGTCCTCCCCAGGACAGTCCAGGCAGGTTTCTGGGGCTTGTTTTCCAAACTCCTCCCTTTTTAGCCATTTGTTGGCTCGTCTCTGAGCATCGGTGCTCAGTCCTGAAGGAGTATTGCTTTGGAAGCACCCGAGCAGGGTGAAGTTCCCCATGGACAGCTGACCTTGAAACTTAGCCCTCATGGACAGCATCGCTGTCTGCCAAGCTGAGCCCAAACCAACCAGGTGATAGTTTCATCCTGGATGGCAAATCGGCACCTTCAAGCCCACCAAGAACCTGCTGAAAGTCCTTCCTCCTGCCAAACACCCACAGCAAGCACTGCTCTCCAGGAAACCTCTGGAGAAAAAGGACAGAAGCAAGAGGACATGGAGATGCTGGCTAAAGCAAGAAAAAGGCAAAAGGAATGAAAGAGGGAAAGAGAAAGCTGGGAATGGAAGGCTGTGTTGTGATGGGGAGGGTGTAAAGGGCATCTCCACACATGCAACAGGAAGTGAGCTATGGCAGGAGGCCTGGGAGAGCTCCATGTCCCCCAGGCACTGCCATGAAGAGGTCCCCTTGAGTCCAGGTGGGTTTGAGGGGATGCTGCTGCAGGGACTTGAATGTTCCTGGCCTCTGCTTCAAGGTAGGACTTGACATTTGAACTAATGAAGCTGAGACCGAAATCTACGTCCAAGCACAGGGCAGGGCGTGGTTCAGGAAGAGGGATTTTGCCTGCAGTGCAGAGGGAGCAGAGGTGCAAGGGAAGGCCAGCAGTGTCAGAGAGAGCAGCAGCCAGAGCAGTGTGGAGAGAAGGGACGTGCTTGTGAGGTCTCAAACCTGCCCCAGTGCTGCTGCCCCTCCGCTGTCGTTCCTTCTTTCTTGTCCATGATCCCGTTGCTCATCAGTTTTCCTCTCCATCTGTTGTTCACTCTCCTCTGTCGGACTGGTCTGCATGGTTTTTTAAGAGCTAATGGAATAGAATCACCAACAGAAACTGGCTGATGTTGTCACTGTTCCTGCTATCACACTGTGTGTCATTGTCACAAAAAGCAAAGGCCTTCAAACATTTTTGTTTGCAAGCACTGTATTGCACCATCTCTTTCCTAGTTCCTCTGTCACCCTAAAGCCCATGGGGTACCCAGGGAAAGGGCCCCTGCCCCACAAGAAATATTGACCTTGAAGGCACTGAAGTGCTCTCAGGCCACTCCCATCGTTGTCCCCACCCTTTCTCTGGTTTCCTTTTTTCTTGCTTTATTTTCCAGCCCTCATCACCTCTTCTCCTCCCTTCCTCTTCCCTGCAGCACTTGCATGCCCTGTGCAAAGCCTTGGTGCCTGTGTGCTGGATGGGGCTCCCCCATGACAGCCAAAACCCTTTTACCCCCCAACATGGCTCTTTTGGGTTCTCCTTCCAAAGCCATGGCATTGGTGGTCTGTTCCCTGTGACACACCCTGACCCAGCTCCGTGCTGCCTCAGGGAGATGCCATTGCTGAGATGCCTCCTCTCCCATGGATCCAGGTGGCTGTCAGTCCCAAGAGGATTGCAGTTCCCAGCCCAGTTCTCACAGAGCTTTCTCAGGAGACCTCTGGGAATCTGGGAGTGGAAAAATGGGGAGCAGGGAGACATTTTCATTCTGCTGAGAAACCCAAACCCCCTCAGAATTTGGGGGAGTTGAACATCTTGCCTAAGAGCTTCATGGGCGGGAGGGAGCTGGGACACAGGCCCTGTAGATGCCCGTGATCATGTGCCTTGGGATAAAACTGTCAGCTTGAACATCAGCCTGTCTAATAAAACCTGATATTTTCCAAACACACTCCCTGGAGATGCTTGTTTTGTTTCTCCTCCTGGTGTGGGAGAGAGCACTGGCACTGGGGTGGATGAGGGGGTGCAGCTGCAGGGAGCAAGGCAGGAACTCCCATCTTCTTCCCTGCACCCCATCTTTGGCCTCTGTCCCTCGCACAGGACCTGCCAGCCATGCCTGAGTCACTTGGCTGCTTTTCCAACCTGTCTCCTTGTGCCATACAGGCAAAGCAAACCTCAACCCCTTTGCTTTGTGCCTCAGGGCAGTGTGATCCTCCCTGGTGAGACAGATCCCACCTGCCTCAGCACATGCTGTTAGGGCACCATGACAGAAGGCAGGGGTCAGGGACCATGGAGGAGAACTCAGGACTGGGGATCACAGCAGAGGGCAGGGTTGGGGATCATGGAGGGAGGCAGGGATTTGAGGAGCATGGAGGAGGAGCATGGAGAAGGACAGGGGGGTTGGGATCCCTGAAGAGGGCAGGGGGTCAGGGACCATGGAGGAAAGAGGGGGGTTTGTCCCCTCCATGGATGTCTCCCTGCTCCTCTTTTTTCCTCCATGGAGGAGGACAAAGTGGTTGGGGACCACAGAGGAGGGCAGGAGTGCAGTACCATAGAGGAGGACAGGGGCTGGGGACCATGGGGGAGGGCAGGAGTGCAGTACCATAGAGGAGGGCAGGGGCTGGGGACCATGGGGGAGGGCAGGGATTTGGGGACCATGGAGGAGGGCAGGAGGGCAGTACCATAGAGGAGGGCAGGGGCTGGGGACCATGGGGGAGAACAAAGGGTGTGGGACTAAAATGTACAGCCGGGGCTCTCAGCAGTCACCCAGCAAGGGGCGGATGGAGATACCTTCCCACCGGCGACTGGGGCTCATGCAAACTCCTCATTATAACCCTCTTCCCAGCCTGTCTGTCTGTCTTTCTTTCCAACTATCTGTCTCACTTACTAATCAAAGAAGATTGTTCCAAGAAAGCTGGAAAAAGAGAAGGAATGTCTCATTTGGCTGTGGCTTCCTTTGGAAAGTCTGGAAAAACTGTGGCATCTCGACGTGCATGAAGGTCTGCCTGGCGAGAAGCACATTTTCTTTCCAAAGCTGCTGTAAAGATGTGAATCATGAGCCGGTAACGCTCCTGGCAGTGCAAACCCCAATTCCACTGAGACATGGTGCTGGCAGTGGCTCTGCTGTATCTCTTGGACGGAAAAGACAAACATTTATCATAGTGACATTGCTGGGGAAGAGCTGCCGGTGCTGCCGAGAGCCTGGCGGCGGCTGGATCCTGCCAGCGCCCAGGGTGCTCCCACCAAGTTTTCCAGAGGTCTCCCCAAGCTCCTCAAACACCAGCCAAGGGGTTTACAGTCCCTTTTGGTTGTCCTCCACCACGTCAGCCCCTCGGTGGCATCTCTTGCAGCCATGAAAATATCCCGCATCCAATCATCAGAAAAAGAATAAAAGCTTTTGGAAAGGTCTGCTGGGAGCTGGGGGGAGCCCTGGTGCTCTGCCTGCTGCACAGTGGAGGTCCCCACCCAGTCTGTTTTCTGCTGTTCCCATGCATCCAATGCTGGGGCCAAACTCCATCCAAACCTTTCCCCTCAAAACTCCCTGTGCTGCAATTGTAAGATCCCAGTGGCTGTGACATGTTTATGAAGCCACTCACTCTCTGTCCAGGTGGACATCGCAGAACTGGGGCTGTCACTCTCCCTGCTGGCAGCAGATGCCTGACTGGTTCAAGCTGCCATTTACAGCTCCTGGAGCAAACAAAACACCTCTTCCATGTAAGTAAGTCCCTCCTTTTTGGGTCTGTGGAACTCTTCTTCCCTGCCCCAAAAGCACCCTGGCTTGCACAGACCCCAGCCCTCTGGCATCCCTTCCCAGGACATGGTCTAGCTCAGGCTTGGAGCTGGAAGAGTTTCAACATGAAGTTCAGGACATGTCAGACAGATACCTCCTGCCTCAAAGCAGAGCACCGACGTCAGTTTGTGTCTGTGAGAAACCCAAAATCAACACATTTTGCCCAAAATGTGCAGGACATTGAACCAGGAAGGCAAGTAAAGCCCTGTCCTGAAGACTGTGCAGGGGCTTTGGGAGCACTTCCCCCAGCTGACACCAATGGAATCACAGGTTGGAGAAGCCATCTAAGATCATCAAATCCCAAACTGCCAAGGCCACCACCAAACCATGTCCTCAAGG